CTCTCTCACTCACTCTCATTTACTGACTCACTCTTCTCACTGACTCATTCACTCACTCTCTCACCCTCTAATTCTCTCACTCACTGACTCATTCACTCACTGACTCATTCACTCACTGACTCACTCTCTCACTCACTCTCATTCACTCACTCACTCACTCCCTCACTCACTCACTGTCTCACTCACTCTCATTCACTGACTCACTCCCTCACTCACTAAAAAAAAAAAACTAAGTGTCTATTATATGCAACAATTCAATCAACATCACAACCTAATCTATTTGTAATCAAACTTGAAAAGTACACTATATATGTTAAAAATCTAAGCCCCCTCCCAACAAAAGTCAAGTGCTAAGCTTGAACCTCCACAGCCCATCTGGCACTTGCCTGGTCCTGGACTTCTCTTTCTGGGTTCAAGCTGGAGTGCAGCATTGTTAAACTAGACTACTTCCATCCTGCCCCAGAAAGCAGCAAGGGTACTAGTTGTACACCTGGCTGATCCCAGCACTAAAATGAAGACCTGATAAGCTTCACTATGAAATTATCTCCCACCTCCAAATATGAACAAACACCCTACATCTGACTTTACAATTTCATTTTTCCCTACTTTCTCTATTATATCTGAGACAGTAAAGCTAACTACCACCTTTAGGCTGCAGAGGAGAAACAATAGTTTTTCTGTGGAAGTCTAGCCCTGAGCAGAGGATATTCTGACAAAGGCCAAGTCAAGTCCAATACTAAAGAGCCCCACATACACAAGCATGACTCACAGGTACATGAATTAGTTTCTTTACTCTTGAAGTCAGTGGGCTTTTTAAATTTCAGTCACTTATTACTGTTGTTCCATCCACTAGACTATAAGCTACAGAGTACAGTGTGCATGTCTGTCTGATTCGTGGCTGATCTACTATATCTGGCATAGCAACCATTGGTGTATAGTACATACTGCATAAAAGAATAAACTGACCTTGCATGTCACTGTATAAGCCACTAATCTTAAGAAATGGCAACATTAGTTCGATATTAGGTAGGAATCCGTTTAATGGCTCTGCCAGGATACCAATACCTCTAGGGCAAGAATGACACATCCAGCACAAGTTCTTTCACTGCTAAACTCGCCCCTAACAGGACTTTCTTAAGGATGGGACACTATGTTCTGAAAATATTCCAATACAAACAGTCCCACTTCCTGTTAACCACTCTCTCCACACTTTACCTCAATTGCCACTACACATGGAGCAAGTTGGATCACTCTGAACTTCTTGCTGTTGCTCTTATATACAGGTCCCCTCTCTCCTCTGGGGCCCCTTGCCCTTACAAATACCCTTCCTCCTGCTTAAGAACCACTCTCCCATCCTTTTCCATAAGATTAAGGCTTACTCATATTTCAAGACCAACCAAAAATGTCCCTCTGTGTTAACAAGCCCTCTCTAACTCTACCAGGGAAAATCAAGCACCATGGCTTCTGTGCACCCACAAAACCGTCTGGTTATAGTCACTAAATTATAAGTTCCTCAAAGGCCAGGATCTTATTGATCCTTCTAAGCCAGTAGTTCTCAACAGGGTAACTTCACCCTCAAGGGATCATTTGACAATGTCCGGAGAAGGGTTTGGTGGTCTTAACTGGGGAGACATGGTACTGGTATCTAGTGGGCAGAGGACAAGGATGATGCCAAACATCCTGACGCACAGAACAGCCGCCGCCGCCACCGCCGCCGCCACCACCGCCACCCCCCCACCCCCCAACACACACACATAAGATTATCTAGCCCAAAATATCAATCATGCTATTGCAGAGAAGCTCTTGTTTGGTGTACCATTTAAAACCTAGAAAGAGTGACTAGCTTACAATACATTTATTGTTGAATAAATAGGCCAACAAGTTTTCACCGGGTTCTAGAAATTTGGCAAAACTACCAAATTGTACCTAAGAAACCAGTTACAGCTACTGAAGGAGGAGAAATCTCTTGCTTTCCTATATCCCTGGAAAGAAATGCCTCACGTTAAATTCCCTCTAAGTAAAAGCACCCACCACACGTGAAAACTCTGCACCAAATCAAGTCTTACTCAGATGGACCCTCTAGAACAGAGTACACTCATTCCATAAGACTTCTGAAACTATAAATCTTTATGGGAGTAGAAAACCTTAGCTTTCTCCCAAGGAGTGGCTGATGGGGCCTGAAAGTCAACCCTGGGGTCAGGAATAAACTACGCTTTTGTTAATGTGCTCAATATTTAAAATGTTTTCTCCTTCATTTTGATTAATTATCAAATTGCTCGTCTCACTCTTAGAAGTTTTCCACAAAAGCTTCTCATTTTTCTTACCACTGTTAAATTCCGGATTTCTTCCATGACACGAGGCCAGAAGGACTGTAGGCTTTGCTGGGCATCACTGCTACTAGTACCACCAAATCCTCCTTCTGTAGACATTTTGACAACTGAGAACAAACACATACATAAGACACATTAAAATAATAAAACTAGGCTTTCTATCCAGGTTTTATATATATATAAATATTTTGACTAATTCCTTCACATTTTCAGTCTAAGAAGGTATTATATTTTGCTGAAGGAGTTTTTAGCAGATTCAAATCTTAGCAAAGACATATGGAGAAGAAATTTCCCTCCTTCTCAGCATATACCACAGTGTTATCACGAAGCCCCAATTAAAAACCTCAAGTAGCTTGAAATCCTAAGGACCATCTAGGGCCTTTACTTCCTTATTGGGGAAGGGGGGCCACGAGCACACACTTGGCTGTCCTAGACTGGCCATAACTTTCAAGGCCATTTCTGCTTTATCAAGTTCTCCGTGGCTTCTCAGACTCCATGCCACAAGCTACAGCAAAGTAAGGTTCTCCAGCTATTAAGATTATACAGAATGTTAACTCAAAGTTTTTTTATTTTGTTTTGAATCATTTTATTGGGGACTCATACAATTCTTATCACAATCCATCCATCCATCCACCCATCCAACCATTGTGTCAAGCACATTTGTACATTTGCTGTCATCATCATTCTCAGTTGTTTTTTTAAGTAAAGTTTATACTTTTATTTTAGATACTGTGACCTTATTTTTATTTGGGGGAGGGGTCACCAATTGATGATTATTCCTTCTAATTTCATGCCAACCTTCCTGAAAGGACATGAAAGCACTAGTCTTGAGTGGATAACACGAAGTCTCTGGGCTGAATCTAATTCCCAAATCTCTCCTGATCTGAACCTTGCTTGCTGCTAGTCTCAAACACCACACACCAGCAACTGGGAGCTTTAAAGGCTGAAAAACAATGAAGAATTAAGACTAAGAGAGAAGAGGGGTCAAACCTACAGATTTCAACTAATGCTTTGTGACGGGTGAGAAGTGAGAAATAGCGATGAATATGGATTCCCCAGATCAGTTATGAGTTAGAGATTATAATGTCCTCAAAGAGTAACAGGAAAAGTGAAGAACTCCAGGTGGTTTAAATGCTTATCTGGCAAATAACTAAATGAAAGGAACAGTTTGATAAAACACCAAGAACAAGACACTTAGAATTCTTATTTGGGGCAATTATTTGAAAAGTTTAACATGCCAGGGGCAAAACTTGGGCAAAGAATTGTGTGAGTATTAAGAACAAATTCTGAGTGGTCAAAAGAACAGTACCAAAGTCAAGCGTCATACCAAATTTGCTACTTTCCAGGGTTCACATGGATATGCAGCAAGATCCCTCTCCTATTAGCAGTGGAATGAAGGCTGCTAAATCTAGGTTTACATGTTTGCCTGTGGTTGTCTTAAGAGGATTCTGATGTTCTGTTGTTTTTTGTCTGTTTGTAGAGAATGATGAGAGAGATGGCAGGAAAACAAGAGCATAATCTTCAAAGCAGACTTTACTCTGGTGTAATGCCATCAGTGAATGATAATGTAATGGGAAAAGATTTGGAGCCAGTTTCTGGTGCTAGAGGAGTGCAAGCAACTCTATACATCAAAACCAAACCAAACTCACTGACATCAAACCAACTTGGCTGTCCTGGTCTGGCCATAATAATCTTCTTTTTTTTAAAAAATCATTTTATTAGGGGCTCATACAACTCTTATCACAATCCATACATACATCAATTGTGTAAAGCGCATTTGTACATTCATTGCCCTTATCATTCTCAAAACATTTCCTCTCCACGTAACCCCCCGGCATTTGGTCCTCATTTTTCCCCTCTCTCCCCACTCCCCCCTCCCTCATGAGCCCTTGATAATTTATAAATCATTATTTTGTCATATCTTGCCCTGTCCAACGTCTCCCTTCACCCACTTTTCTGTTGTACGTCCCCCAGGGAGGAGGTCACATATAGTTCCTTGTAATCGGTTCCCTCTTTCCTACCCACTCTCCCTCTATCCTCCCTGTATCGCCACTCACTACTAGTAGTTTCTTATAAGGTAGGTACTCATAACAATGAAGAAAGTAAGATTTAAACCAACCTTTCAAAATGGGCAAATAAAAAATCTTTCTGAATATGAAAATTATAATTTAAAAAATCTCTTAACCTTTCACTGCATGGATCCAAGGACAGGCCTTACTCTAACAAAATTTGTCAAAGTCAAGGGAGAACGATGCCAGGTTACTAGTGTGATGTTCATATATTTGCTAATAATGATGGCAGGTTTAGTTGGAATGCAAAGGTCTGTGAGATTTATGTTAGTAACAAAGGTTTGGCTATCCTGATTTCACTCCACAAAAATTCAAAGGTGCAATTCAAGGAGCACAACCCGCTTTTCAACTTTGAGTTGTCCCTACATTGTATGAATGTTTTGGCATAATCAGGCCCCCAAATATCTGTATGTCACTAGATCTGAATATAGCTGACTCAAAGCCACACAATGATGTAGTAGGGGCTGTGTACAAGATAAAAGCTAACAAACATTCTGTACAGAAAATAATTATTATAGGTAATTTAAAGGTCCATGTAAATAGACAAATTACAAATGGATAATACAGAGCCTGGCAGGGCGACAGGGGGAGTAAGGAAGCCTCGGTAACTACGCACTTTCTATTTCACTGTATCATAGAAGTTGAAGACTGGGGAAAGAGAGTGAGACATTAAGAATCACTGAGGTCCAGCCCTCTGAAGAAGCCAGCAACTCCTCAACCTCAACCCCACTCCGTGTAGCCATTTAGAATAAATTTGGGCATCCCTCTCTAGTTCTGGGAAATGGCTCACTCTGATATGTTCTTCTACTTTTAGAGAGTTCTGACTGTTCTTTACATTAACCTGAACTGACAAGCAGAGTTCCATTTGAGCTTTAAGATTAAAGTTGCTATGATTTTTTTTCCTGCGCAATTTCTTTTTCTAAATTTCACTGACTTCAAAACACAAAGCTATTCTTTCTCACCAGCGACACAAGATTCTTATAAAGAAAAATAAGATAGACTTTAGAGCATGTTGTCTACTGTGTGTACAGAGACGATTAGTCACTATTTTATTATCTTTTAGAAGAACATAAGTGGTTATTGCAAATTTCTAGATTATTTTTATTCAAAATGATTTTACTAAAGCAGATCTAGTGTTTACATTACAGCTTTAAAATGAAGGTCAAATCACAAGTAGTATGTGTTATGAAAAATAAATTGTCCTCAGTATTACTAAGGCATAAATTAAAAATAAATAAGACCTAATCATAGCCATGAATACCATACATACTCGTGTATAAGCCGAGTTTTTTCAGCACATTTTTAATGCAACTTTTGTGGTAAAATTAGGTACCTCAGCTGATATTCAGGTCAGCTTATACTCGAGTAGATAAACTAATTTTGCTGACCATATATTCTAATAGCAAAACAGAGTAAAAAAACAAAAAGGAACCTTTTATTCATCACCTCTTATTTTAATAATTAACATATTCAATATAACTCAATTTATTTTGCCTCAAAAGTAGGCCATTTACTATATATGTGTATGTGTATGTATGTATGTGTATACACACACACACACACACACACACACACACACCCATCCATCCCAGGGAAAATATGCTGGACTCATTTCCTAGGGCAATGAAAGGCACATATTTAAAAGTAAGAAGTTTATATTTCATAATCATCTTCATACCAGATTGCTACCTCTGTAACTGGATACAACTATTTACTTATATTAACAGAACTACCTAAAAACCAAGCCACATTAGCTTAGGACATTCTATGAAAAATGCAATAATTTCCCATATCTATTTATTATTCATATTAGATTTATCATTCATATTCATTGGTTACTTTATAAATACTTGACTGCCTTTTAATTACTTTATAAATACTTGACTACCTTTTAAACTGTTGAATAAAGACTTCAGGGCCAGATGAAGTAGTAAATGGCTACTGCCAGAAGCAATCTCAACTCCCAGTATCCATTAATTTATCTGACTTTTAAGATTCTTAAAACAGAAATAGAAGAATTGGCTGTTTTGCCAACATTCAAGTCAACTGCCACCTCTCCACAAGTCTTCTCTAAATATCTCCATCTGGAAGTAATCACTCCTTCCTGTGAGCACTCCAGGCCCTTCATCAGCATCTCTTTCACGTTTACCACATCACTGTGTACGATCATTATTTATGTGAATGACTTTTCTTACTTCCCCTTCTGATTATAAACTCCTTGAGGGCAGGACCCCAGTATAATCTGTCTCTGTATGCCTCATAGCATCTAGCACAGTCAGATAAATAATTACTCTAGCATAAAAGAGCAAAAAACTCACTCAAGTATGACCTTTCAGAGAAAAAAGGATCTCTGGAATGTCTGGCCCCAAAAAAGCCTTAAAGAATCAAAGTACAAGGTGTTTCGAGGAAGTTCAAACTAAGTGGGGTTTTCCCTGAGCCTTCAGAGCAGTGGTTCTCAACCTTACTAATGCCGCGACCCTTTTAATACTGTTCCTCATGTTGTCCCCCCCAACCATAAAATTATTTTTGTTGCTACTTTGTAAATGTAATTTTGCAACTGTTATGAATCGTCATGTAAGTATTTGATAAGCAGGATGTATTTTCATTGTTACAAATTGAACATAATTAAAACAGAGTGATTAATCACAAAAACATGTAATTATATACAGTATTATGAATTATTTCTAATTACAAATCAATGACATTTTGTCATGTAGCATGGGTAAAAGTCTTCACGCCAGGTATTCATACGTGGGCATTACCTGCATGTGGGCAGACCTGCCTGGAGATGGATAAAGGAGCAGTGTCTTGGTTCCTAAGACCATTAGAAATGGTCTTAGGCGACTCCTGTGAAAGGGATTCAACCCCCCAAAGGGGTCGCGACCCACAATTTGAGAACCACTGCTTTGGAGCAGTTAGAAATCCAACTCAAGATAACTCATTGAAGTGGATTTTAAATGAACAACACACACACACACCCACACACACCACCCCACCACCCCCTCATTACCATCGAATCCAGGCTAACTTATACTGGT